AGGCAAGATGAATCAAGATACTGAGGGCATGTGGGTTGCACTATAGAGAAAACTGAAAACAAAATTAAAAGAGAAGATGGAAAGGACATGGGAATTCACATCTGTTTTCTTGGGAGGGCTGGGAAGGGAAGCATCTATTTGGAAATAAAAATGAATAGGCATGACTGATTACAAGATGTTGAAACTGCACACAGTCAATTTGTGACGCTGTGAGGAAATTGGTGTGAAGGTATGTGCGGTGCTGCTGCAAATCTGTTTTCAGTTGAAAGACCATATTTCTGCTGTTGAGATCAGGAACATGTAAAGCTTAGCTGAGTAAAAAGGCAGCGTAGCTTTCAGTATCTAGGAAAAGCAGCTAAACTAGAAGCCCACAGTTTGGAGACAGTTACAGGTAATGCTGAGAGTGCCTTTATGTGACATTTTGCAGAGGCAGATATATCAAAAAATTAAAGTGGTGGCATAGTCCTCAAACGAAGTGTTTTTGCCCTGTATTCTCCTCCCTTCTCAGTTTATCCCTGTTTCTATGGCTGTTGGGTAAACTACTAACTTTTCTCATAGATGAAGAAAACAGCATTTTCTTAAAGTCCTCGTTGAAACAGACCAAGATAGAACATGAAGCTTAACTGATGCATTCATCTGATACATGCTGAAGTAGGTAAATGACCTGACTGCATCAGTGGGCAGCAGTAATTCTCTCCACACTAGATTATAGTTGAAATGCACTCAAGAACAGTTTAAGCTGGATTTACATCTGCATAGTTTCATCCTATCAGTTTAGTTATTCTTCTCTGAAGTGCTTTAAACAAATCTCTTAGTTATTGTTTTTATTTGCCAAATATACTTAAACTTGCTCCATATTGTAGCCAGCTCTGGGCTTTCTGTGACTATGAAATACTACCTTTGGAACAAAATTGTACACCAAGATCCCAATTTCCATCCTTTAGAGGAAAGCAAAACCTAAAACAAATCTAGCTCACTAGAATCCAAGAAGAACTTGAACAGAACCGTAGGCAGTTTGAAACAGTATCTTTGTTTGAATTTCCCCTTCATACTTACTTAGCACTAGGTCTTGAACTTAATTAAGAAGTAAGCGCATATAGAAATTTGAAAGCATGGAAATAAAACAGTAGTAAAGAAAATGTAGCCTTCATATAGCCTGTGTTTAATTGGTGGAAAACAAAAGTTGCCTCAAATTTACCATCAACGTGTCATGACTTTAGGGATTATGTAAATTTTTTTAGGCCCAATTTTTTGCAGAGTTGGTGTAAAACCTAGTATTATATCAGTTGAGACTGAATTAGAACAGAGCACGTCCAGAGGAACACCAAGGGAGAAATGCAGAGTCGTTGCTATCTATATGAATTTACATAATCTCCAGTTCCATTGCATTGGAGAAGACTCTTATCTTTTGCTCTTCTCCATGGTTTGCCCCTTCTACTCCTTCATTTTCTTACTGTTGTCTAGATTACAGTGGCACACACATACACACACCCACACACCCAAAATAGCGATGGAATTTTCCCTCATCTCTTGCAATAATGTAAAACCTACTTGGAGGGCGACGGACTTACTGGTTCTAAGGACCTTGTTAAGGCAATCAGATTCACTTTGGGATTTGATACAATCCACTCTCCGCTATACTACATCCTGGAGAGGCTAGAAAAATGCTTCATCTTTTGATACGTCTTTTAATTTTGTTTTATTTAAAGTATAATCTACATAATTAAGTATTAAAAAGTCCTGTCCTGTCCTGTCTGTAAATTGCCAGTTTACATTGTACTTTTCTGTGTGCCTGGAGTAGAAGGTGGTCCTTCTGAGGAATACCTAAAGCAATAGCTATACTTTCTGCCTTACCAAGATAACCAGGAAACACAGCACAAAATTACAAACATATTACTTTGACTTCATTTCAGTTTTGCAGTTTTTAAAATAATACTATAAACTATTTTATGTCTATGCAAATTGTTATTTTCTCCAGTATCCTCAACTCTTAGGAGTGTTTTGTCTGTCCCTCTTTTTTCGGCCAATTTTCTCATTTATGCCTCCACCTATATATAAATATAATATAAATAAATATAAAACTATTATGAGCCTTTGCGCTGCTGCAATAATGGTGGTGGTTGGGAGGGACTGGGAATAGAGAGATACTGATGAAAAAAGTGGAAGGAACTCATGATGAAAGTTTGCGAAGTGGAACAAACATTGCATGAGCTGAAGGTAGAAAGTCCTGGGATACTGGCATGCAGTAATAGACATTCTGGATGTGCTTCTAGTGTTAGGTGTATCTCTGTTATTAGAGTGTGACTTTGAGGTGTCAGTATAACAGAATAAATCATATGTTATATGGAATGTTTGACTTCAGTAGTGGAGCTGGGTCTTGGGAGCACAGATCCATATCCTAATTTGATCCATTCATCTTTGCTAGGACATGTTGATATCTCTTTTGAAGTATGTGTATGCAGTGCTGACTGGATTCAGCTACTGACTTTACAAACTCACTATATGCCAGTGTCTAATGTTAGTAATACCATAATGAAATTAGTTTCCTAATACTGTGTTTTATTTTATTAACATTACTTTAATTCTTATTTTAAATAAAACCAGAAATATACAATGTACGTTTTGTGGAAGATTTGATTGGTAAAAGTATTTTGGGTATGGTGCATAACATATCCAGTCCTGAAGAACTGCTTGGAGGCTTGAATTGGCCTGTGCTGGCAGCTTTGCCACTTCGATGTATTTAAATTCCTACTATGTGCCCTGTTGCATAAGAGTAAATCAGGCTTTTGCCTTTTTCTAAAGTTGCTGTAAGTGAGTGTTTTAGTATACTTAATAGTATCCAATTTGAAAAATCAATTCTATAAACTCTTTGTATGTTGTATAGTGTTTTAATCTTTGCTTATGTAAAATGAATTTTATCTATAACATGTATATACAAATTATTACAGATAATAAAATGATTTCATGGGTGAGTCTCAGAAAATGACTTAACTTGGTAGGAAAGATAGTTTGGTGGCTAATGCAGAAGACTAGAAGTCACCACAGAGGTTTTCTGGGTCTTCACATGAAAGATACTTGTTATGTTGCTGCCTGAATTTGTGAACTTCTTATGGTAACAGTGAAGCTCAGTGCGCAGGTGACTTTGGACAAGCTTACCACAGTAGTTCTGCTGGATGTTACCACATGCGTAAAGTCAGCAAAAGTTAGTGTGCTAGCTCCTGGATTCCCACAGCTCAGAGCCTGTCATATTCATGCAAACTTAATTTCTAGCATTGACTTTTGCAGCCAAACCTAATAAATATTCCAGACTTCCCTGTTTCTGACGTGGAATTCTCTTCCCCATGCAGTGGTTTCCTAGAGAATTATTTTAACTTTAGTTACATTAATGATGTAGTTTACAGCACAGTCATGCAAATGGTTATACATGTGCATGTAAAAGGAAGGCAAACTGGTGTTGGGAAAGACTGGACTGAGACTTTATTAGCACCAAGCAAATTTTTGTGTGTTAGAGACATCCTTTGTCTCTAAACAGATGAATGCTGGAGATGATTCAGAAGGTAGACCAGGTAACTATTACTCTTTACATGTTTTATCATTAATTTCTTCCCTGATCTCTACTGGGACAGGATGCTGTTTATGATCTGACCCAGCACAGTTTTTCTTATGTTTTATCATGCAATCTGTGCAGCTTTGTCTTCATTATACAGATGATGGCTGATGGACTGACTCCCAGAAAGAATTTAGAGTGGCCACAGTGCTCAGTTAAGGTTTCAGTGTTTGAGTGGGGTTTGAGTTAAGGACAAAAATCTACATGATAACTGAGTTTGTTCTGCAGAGAAAGCAGTCTCTTAAGTACATCCAGAAAGACACACAGCTTTTAGTTTGAAGCTTCAACAAAAGGGAAAAAAAAAAAAAATGGTGGTTTGCTTATTAGCTTGTGCTAGTGGCTAATCATTTTCACTGAAAAAAATAACAGTAAACTACTCTGATGAACCAAAGAAGGGGCTGGAGTTCAGCTTTCTAAAATGATATACAGAAACTGTCTTTTTTTAAAATCCAGACTTACAGACTTTCAGCTCATTGGGAATCCAGAATAGTGTCTGAGGGGAAAAATGTTCCTATTAAAATGTAAATTTGTTAAAATAGTTGTTTCACAGTGTACTATGATGCTGTAATTAGTTCTTGGATTAGATTGAATGAATGCTCTGTAGGGAGAGGGTACACATACTTGCAAATGTCCATCCTATAAGGGTAACTTAAGAGACTTTTTCACATTCATGAAACTGCAAAGACCTATTTTGACTACTAGCTCATCAAAACGTTAAAGTGGTTCGTGTGTTGCTTACCTGTCTCTAATGCTGAATAACATTCTTCCCTAAATGTTTTCTTCTCTATGTATAGTGGAAAAGGCATAAATTTGAGGTGAAAAGGGGAAAATGGAACAAAGGCATGAATTTTTTTTGTTTTCCTTAGGTATCTTGGTCTTTCTTAGGTCAAAACCTTTTATTTAATTGATTTCTCATACTACTTCATATATCACTGTGCATACTGAAAACTTCTGAAGATCACTGAGAAAGGCTGTTTCTACTACATGTCATGCTAATTGAGAAATCCTTTGGAAACATAAATGGCTGCTCAGGATCGTTTGAAACATGCGTTTACATTTTTTTTCAACCTCTGTCCAACCTCTTGTTCTTCAGTTTTTCCCAAGTTTCAAGCAAGCAAAATCCTCCTGGTGACAGCATTCCCTAGCAAGAACAATTCAAACTTAAACTTCAATACTTCGTTATAGCTTGTCTTCAACTTTGAAATGTATAGTAAGATAAACTTTTTAAATACATTACAGGTTACAAGGGCACAGAGGCAATGTCAGTATGCACTAAAGGATGTTGACTTTTGACTGACATATTGCTCTCGACAGTAGAAAGATTTGATCATTATGGTTTCCTTCTCTCTGTTTAATGGGCTACTTATGGATCTGTGTTTGTTCTTTTCCTCAGATATTAGGATTAAAGAAGAGGAGCCTGATCCAGAAGAGTGGCAGCTCAGTGGTGATTCTACACTGAATACCAATGATCTAACACATTTGAGAGTACAGGTGGTAGATGAGGAAGGGGACCAACCACATCAAGAGGGAAAAAGACTGCGACGAGTAGCTTGCACGTGTCCCAACTGCAAAGAAGGTGGTGGAAGGTATGTAACGTTCAGTGTCATATAATGCATGTAATGATGAAAACAAATAATGAGTGAGGGAAAAAGGAGCCTTAGTTAATAGCAGTTTTCTGCAGTTAGAGAAAACTAGAGGCTTATGCAAAAGAGCTCATGCAATAAAGGACTGCCACCTTTATTTCTGGGTTTGCAGATGGACGGGCAGATTATTCCATCCTCTCTGAGTTACTCCATTGAGATTAATTGGAAAAATCTGGAGTTAGATGCCACCTAGTACAAGTGAGGGGGATAGAACATTGCCCTAAATAATACAAAAATGAAATATTTTGGAATATGCACATCTGTGATTGGCTTCCTATCATATGTCAAGGACTTGATTAAATCCTGTGTTCCCACATTTCCTCACTGATTGAGCATTTTTTTTCCACAGTTTGATTGCTTTAGAGTGTTATAAAAATACAGTTATCCTGGTTTTCTTATTCATTGGTTTCCTAAGAAAAACAAGGTTTGTATAATAATTCTAAATACCTAATTTTGAGTTGACTGATTGTTTTCAGTCAAAGTTAGTGGAGATTTGGCTAACAAAGAGGTACCAAGTTCCAATTCATATAAAACTTCAGGGCTGCATAGGAAGCCATGTTTTGTTATTCTACATCTCCTGAAAGTAATCTTCAGCTTTTTGTTATCTTAAAGATTTTATTCTATTCCAAAACACTCCCTTTTAGATATCTTGATTATGGATAGAAGAGAAGAAGTGGGGATAATAGGCTGCCTTTTACAAGTGAAAATATTTAGGTGTGTTTGTGCTTGATATAATTGTGCAGGGGCTTCTTTCCAGTACACTAAAATTTGTCCATTTTGATAATAGTTTCTTCTCTAAAATGGAGGTCTTATTTGTGTGAGAACTATAGTGTAAATTACTGAGTTCTCTTTAAAGAACCTGTGGCTCTAAGAGTTCTAAGAGTACTGACTGAATATGTCTATTGTCAAGCCTCTTGTGGTTTTTTGCTGTATGTTCTAGATACCTTCTTTGCAAGCATGGAGAGGTAATATCCTAGGCAACCATGCCAAGTAAATATTAAGTGTTTAAGACAAAAACACTTTCATACATTTACATCACGAATGAAGCTAGTGATAATATCTGCAGTTAAGGTTATATAGCATCTTTGTCCATCAGCTTCCTCTTGTTAAATTCCTATGTGTGGTTCGCTGAAACCTGGCACAGACATTTCTAAGTTCTTGGTGAACCTTGCTTCTGCCATGAAGATCTGCCCAAAGTACACCCTGGGTTGAGATTTGCTTCAGTCTGGGAAAAAACTCTGAAAATGTGATTTGCACTGTCCGTACTCTTAGGAAACATAAAGATTTCACCTGTTGCGTCTTCCTCGTGCTCTATTCCAAACTGCAGTGGCTTTAATTTAGAGACATCTTTACTTTAAAATCCTCTTCCTCCTAAGCGGAGTTGCTATAACACCGAATTTTAAAGTCGAAGCTTAAGAGAGAATCTTTTTGAGAGATGGTTTTGATGAAGTCTGGAAAGGGGTGTAGCCTGACTGAAACTCACATATGGGAATTTGGGAAGGAGTTGAGATAAGAGGTAGGAAAGAGTTTGGGTAGGTGAGAATTGAAATCCACTGTAAAGGAAGGACTGGACACAGCAAATGTACAAAGTCAGTAGGAAAAGTAGGACAGGAAGTCAGGATGTGAGAAGAATTAGGACTGGAATAGAAACAGGATAATGATGGAGGCAGTGGTGGGGAAACAGAAAAAGAGTGAAAGTGCCTACAGTTGCAAGAGCAAATTTCCCACCGGAATGTAGAATTCCTTCCGAGTCTAGCAAAAAGGAGTAAGCCCACTTGGAGGAATATTTTCCTTTTCCCTCTGATATATGTTGATTATGTTCCATAGCTGCTTCAGTTGTTTATCTCTAGTGCTGTAATGCTGAGTTTTGATTTGTCTTTCAACTCTGCTGATGACTCGCAGAGTTTCAGACAACAGGACATTTGCATTTATAAACTTCTTCAGATAGCATTCACAATTTTTAAAATTATGTTAAGGTTGCAAAATTGAAAACTTGGAAGTTGGCAAATGCCAAAGTTAAGATATCCTGGGCAACTTTAATTTAATCCCTTGTGCTTATACATTATCATTTGGTTTCTAATTACATGACTGCATTCCATTTTATTGATATGACCCCAGTGCCATTCAGCGGATGGGTTGGGTGATGCACAGGGAGTGAATCAGGGCTGATTCACTTATTGCAGAAATTGGAAGGCATTTAGGGAATGAGATATGGGACTGCAGCAACAGGGCTCTGAAGTTTTGGAGGTGTTTGTCTATCCACCCCACCTTTTCCACTGCAGAAGTACTGAGTTCATTCCTGTAAAGATGTCAGTTGAGCTGAATTGTGAACATCTACAGTACTCCAGGAAAATATGCTTCTGCTATATTGAACTTGACACCTCAAGCTGGTGGGTGTTTGACAATTTTGGCCTTAATCTCTTTCTGCCTCATATTTGGATGTATGAAATGATTGTACTAGTTCAAGTTCACTACACAGGAGTGTTGCAAGATGATAAGTTCATTAATGTTTGTGAATTGCTTAGACACTGTGAGTGTTGTGAGTGCCCATGATGAAGAAAAAAAAACGCTGGGGGAAATGAATAATTCTGTATTTAAGATAGTACTTAAATAATATGTAACTAGTAAGACAAGAAAAGCACTTTAAATCAGTATGAAAAAGCTGAATAGCATTTCACTCAATGAATACTATCCCTCCTGTGCACTGAATGGGGTAGGAAAAGGTGGTACATGGCTTCACATATGTAGACTTCTTCATAATTTCATCTTTTGTGTAGCCTTAGTTTTGGCATATCTTGTCTTTTCTGTTTTCTGGATGCAAAGGTGAGTTGAGGGGTTCTTTCTGGTTTTTGTTGTTGGTTTTTGTTGGGTTTTTTAGACTCTCAATACAGAATTAGACTACGTTGCCATCTTCAAAGGATTTCTATTTGTACCAGTCCTGTGAAGTAGGAAGCCACTATTATCTTTTCCTTACTTGGCAGGGAGGAACGTAGGAGAGAAAGAGGATGATGTATTAGATGTGTAAATTGAAACCCTATAGCCTCAAGCTTATATAGTAAATGGGAGATAAGCAAGTGGAGAGAGAGAGAGAGAGATGTACCTCAAAGGATGACTCTGATCCCAAACAGACTGTATTAGGCTTCTAGTTAGGATGTCTGAAGTTAGGTGGAAAGTTCACTGTCCTCTCAGTTACATCTGGAGATTTCACAAACTCCCCTCAATTACAACTGGAATTGCGTTGAGATGTAACTGTACTGTCTGGATCTATAGAGGAACAGTGCTTCTGAGTACCACTTCAGGTACGTAACTCTAAAATACACATTCTTAAAATAACTAATAAGTGTACGTTTTACCCTTGAAATACTTGATGTTCCTCCTGGAGGTACTGCTGGACTGAAAGTCCAGTCTCTCAGCAGATGAAAGTGTCTTCTGCTGAAACTGTTGCATTCTGCATGGTTACTGAGAAACATGGTTTCCAATCTTTATAAAGCTAAAATGTACTATGAAAATAATAAAGTTTTCGTTGATTTGGAGACTCCAGTCGAGGAGTAGGCCTGAGTCATATCCTTTTGCGCAGTGATGATGGTTATTGGCCAGTGCAGCAAGAAAGGCCTCTTACCATGACGTGTTAGGGCATAGTGCCAGACTGTCACAGCTGCAAAGCGTCCAGATGGAATTTGGTTCATATCCAGTCAGTTGAGAGCACACATGAAGCAAACATGCAGATGCCTATATTAAGCTGTGTAGAATAAATACATTTAGTTGCTCATTCATAGTAGTCTTGTGGATTTCATTCTGTGAATCCCTAACTTTCCCCTCACTTTGAACTTCGGAGTCTGCTAAGGAATTCTGTCACTGGTTAGGTGACGTGCTTAGAATTACGTGTGCTACACCACCTACACACAGTAAGCTGACTATGAGTTGAACCTTGGTTTCCTTCAGTCTAGACTAAAGGTGCAATTAAGCAACTTCAAATGATTGACTTAGGAATCTTAAAATTATTCTAAGGGAATTTTGGTGTGATTTCTTGTCATTTGTGTCACATTTATGTACTGTATCATGCAAAGTTACAAAATATTTGTACTGATTGTTGTGGAGGGGAGGACTATAGTACTTGGAGAAGGCGTAAGGATGAAATACCAAATACAAAAAAATATTCTATATACAGAAATATATTCTCAAATGCACAAATACATTTTGTTATAATAAGCACAGGCTGAGCACTTCTTAGGGTTACATGGAGTTGGACAGGCAATTAAAGACACAGGATAGCAGGATCCTGTGGAGAACTCTTTCAGTTACCAAGACAGTATAACGGAGAAGAGCCATGGGTATTCCTTTGCCTTGCACCACAATTGCTGGATGCCTTGAGCCACCAAACAAGAGGACCTGAAGAAGAGCTGTCTGGACCTGAATCATTAGATGAAGGTGAATGTAGACCCTGAAGACTGTGGAACTGGTTGCAATAAGGCAAAAGGAGGAATACAGAAAATTTCTTCCTTGGAGTCCAGGGAGCTGGGTGTTTTGGCCTGATAGATGAATGCCACTGGAACTGTTACAGGTTCAGTGAGTTTTGTGTGGTGGCCTAGCTGTCTGCAGAGGTTGAGAAAGTAGAAAAGAAAGGGGGCAAGCTAAAGACATCTTGTTAAATGCCTTTGAGATTGGCTGAATGTTCAAAACTTGTGAATATTGAGCTTTTGTGTAGGTGGCATAGTACAAAGTCAAACACCTGAGATTACAGTTAATTTTGCTTTTTAATCTTGGCTTGAGGGAAGGCCATGGAAGAGTGTGAACCTGACAGTTCAGATGTAGCAAAGGTTACAAAAAATGGATGTTTCAGCTGAGGTAAGAGATGTAAAAAAGGCAATGTTTGTCCTGGTCGAAAGAAGTGATCTTCTTTTGGGACATTTGAAAAAGGAAAATTAAGTCAAAAGTATTCTTGCCAAGACTAATAACGATGGAAGACCTTAAGATGTTAGGTCAACTGCCAGGGAATTTTTTGCATGAAATTTATAAACAAGCTGGATAAAACAGGCAGGTGAACTTTCTGTGAGGCTAAGGATTGAGGGGTGGCAATAAAACCAAAAAAATTAGATAAATAAGCAGAATCTCTTCTGTCACCATATCCATTGGCTCACATGAGTCTACTGCTACCACAGCAGGGTCAAAAGCCTTTTGGACTCTCTACTTCTACTGCCATTGAATTTGTTCTGAAGTCAAAACCTACATTGTCATGACAAATAATTAGTATGTAAAAGTGATAGTTTTTTCTTCTGAGACAAGATGACTAATTAAGCACTATGAATATCGCTCTATATTGAGACTTCTTAGAAGCATTTTCTAGGACTTAATTGGATTTTATCTCCTTACTTTTCTGGACTGTCTGGAATGTTTTAGGTGCATATGTGCTTAGGTTGGAATTCCCTTTAGATGCTGTGAGTTTTTAGAGTGATTTAATTTCTGTGCCTGTTCAGAAATCCTTGTTCCAAGTGCTGGCTCCTTAAAGTGTATATGCATTTTACCCTGAACCCTCATTAGATGTAAACCAGAATTGTTCTGAATGCAGGGACGAGAATCTCAGTCTAATAGTTGCTTGGCAAATCCTTCAGCCACTGGACGGTTAAGCAGAAGTTGAGCACGCAATTTAAGGAAAAAAATTGCCCTAGGGATGCAACTGAAAATTGTATAATCAGTCATGGAGGATGGAGTGCCCAAGACTGTGATTAAGAATCCACTTAAGCTGTTCTAAGTTAACATTGCTGATGAATAAGGTGGCCTGATGCTTGGCTGCATTTTCCAATCTCCTCCCTTGTACCAGCATTTACCATTCATGTTGCTGTGTTGTCAGCCAGATCTATTCCCTGGAGTGCCCCTTTGAGCAGCAGCAAACACTTAAATTGGCTAAAATCAATCATGATGCCCTGTGCTGGCCAGACTGATCTCTTTCTCTGGGTCTTCAGAGGCTTTTCTCTCTCTGGTGATTTTATTTAAAAAAAAGGAAGAAAAAAGTTAGGCTTTTGTGTTAGGTGCTTCCCCTCAATCACCTACCATTTCAGTGAGGCAGCATCTTAAAACAGGCATCAAGGTCAGTAGTCTGGATTATACTATCTGTGAATTATGTGTTCATTTTGATGGTGGTTTTTTTTTTTCTGAAATACCAAGGAATTAATTTAAATGTCAGCGAGATCAGCTGTTTCACTGCCACTCCTTTCAGTGGAAATACTCAGGTTAGTATGCCTGTCTTCCAACCCCAAACTGCTTCTTAGGTTTCCCCAAGATGCCAAAAGTCCCATCTGTTCTCTTCCCAGTTGCCAAAATCTCCAGTTTCCGTTTGGGCAATTGCAGTAATTTGTGTTTTTCTTTGCCAAAACTGTCTTTGGTATGGTAAAAACTGAAATTTAAAATACGGCACTTCAGCATCAAAGTAGTACAAACTGCTGTAATGACTGTATTTTCAACTTTATATACATGTATGCTTGCTAAAGATTACACTTCTATCGTTTAAATTTCACATGCTGTTGAACTTACAGTTTGTTGCAGAATCGAGGTAGCATTATAGAATTCAGTTCCAGCTTCTTATGGTGTGTACTGGATTCTGATTGTATTTGAAACAAAAATGGGAAGCTGCTCAGGTTTTTTTGCAGATCTATTGGTATATGTAGCCCCACTTATATGTATGACCAGTATTTAGGAGGAATGTATTAGAATGAATAACTTCTCTTTTTTTTTTTTTTTTTTTTTTTTTTTAAAACAGAGGCTCCAACTTGGGAAAAAAGAAGCAACACATCTGTCACATACCAGGGTGTGGCAAAGTATATGGGAAAACTTCACATTTGAGAGCTCATCTCCGCTGGCATTCTGGAGAGCGTCCATTTGTTTGTACTTGGATGTTCTGTGGCAAAAGATTCACTCGCAGCGATGAGCTTCAGCGACATCGAAGAACGCACACAGGTTTTCAGTCTTTGATTCTGGTGCACTTAACTAGAGACGTGTCATGGAGAGGGCTTGGATAAATAACTTTTAAGAGGAGAACAGATCTTTGTATTGCATTGATTTTAATGTAGTGTAACTTTTCTAAAATCAGCTAATACTTAGAGCTATGTATACACTTTGGTTTCTTTAGTAGGTCTGAGGAGAAAAAACAGCTACCTTTTTTGATTCAGAACTGACATTTGAGCTAATACTTAATATAGCTTAATCAGAATATTTTGATTCAGCTTCAGCAATGCATTTCATTTGTTTGAACCAAATTAGAACTGTTGTTCCAGCTTAAGACTTCAATAATTTTCTCTCATTTTAAAAAAGAAAAATAAAAATAGAAGGCTAGATGTCCAAGAGATTAGATGTCATTCACAAAATCAAGGAAGAGCATGTGGTGGTGCATCATTCTACATCTTCTATTTTCATGGTTAGATCACCCATTAAGGACTCCAGGTTCACATTTCTCCTTTTGTCTAATACAAAGAAAAGAAGTTAGTCTAGATATTCCACCTTCTCAAGGAACAGTTTGTTTCAAATCTATTGTCTGTATTACCTATTTTTCTACAAACTCAACCCATAATTACATTCTACAGGATGCTTATCTTTTAAAATTAGACTGTTTGAAAAACCCAATGACAATCGATAAATTATTTATGTGCTTATCAGCATCTACATTGCTTAGAAAACTGTCTTTGGTTTGTACCTAATGTTGTGCTTTTGTTAGACATGTTGGAAGCTTGAACCCAAGCTGGGGTGTTACAGTCTGTCAGGATGGACAGCCAGATGGGTTTAAAAAAAAGAGACCAGTTGAATGATCCAGCTTAGAGGGTATGGTTAATGGCTCCTAGTGTACCTGCATACCAATAAAAAGTAGAGAGCTGCAGGGATCTATCCTTTGATGTGTTTTAACATCTTTATCACTGACCTGGAGGAGGCAACAGAGTGCACGTTTTTTAGGTTTGCAGATGACACCAAACTGGGGTGACCAGTCAATGCAGTTGAGGGCAGGGCTGCTATTCAGAGGGACTCAGGCTGAAGCAATGGGCTGACAGGAACCTTATGAAATTCAACAAGGATAAACGCAAAATACTGCACCTGGGATGGTATTAACCCTTGCAGCAACACAGGCTAAGCACTGACTAGTTAGGAAGCAGCTTTACTGAAAAGTACCTGGGAGTCTTGACAGACAACAAGAACATGAGCAAGAGCCAGCAGCAAAGATGGCTGGGGCTGTATAAACAGAAGCCAAGACACTAGTTCTAGGGAAGCAATGATCCCCGTCTTCTCAGCACTGGTTAGACTGCATCTAGAATATTGCATCTAGTTTTCAGCCCCCAATATAAGACAGACATTGATCAACAGGATTGAGTTCACTAAAGGGCGACCAAGATTTGCCTTATGGAGTATTTGCCTTATGAGGAGAGGCTGTAGGAACTGGGCTTATTCAGCTGCACAAAGAGAAGAGTAAGGGCAGGGGGGAGCTTAATAGCAGCCTTCTAGTGCCTGCAAGGCCACCATTAAGAAGACAAAGACAGACTTTTCATGGTGGTGCATTGGTGGGAGGATGAGAGACAACAGACATAAGTTGAAACAAGAGAAGTTCAGACCAGATATAAATAAAAACTTTTTCATTGTGAGGACAGCCAGGCACTGGAACAGGATGCCCAGAGTTTCTGCCGTCTCCATCCTTAAAGGTTTTCAAGACCAAACTGGATAAATTCCTGAGCAGCCAGGTCTGACCTCATAGCTGACCCTGCTTAGAGAGAGATCAGACTAAAGACCTCCAGAGGTGCCTTCAAACCTGATCTTGCCTGTCAGTCTGAAGTGTGATTCTGCAGGAGCTCATATGGACTTCCCTGTCCATCATTCGGCAGGTTTTGTTCTCCTCTTAGAAGATATTTATTGGTAATAACTGCAGTGAAACTTAGCAGCCTGAGGACATGAGATGGCAATATTCTTTAGCTTGCCTTAAAGATCTCCCCAAACTCAGTGAGACACAGAAAAATAAATCAATTCTTTTACAGGATTTGTATGGGTGTCTAGAAATTTAAAACACAAGTTTATCATGTTGGATCGCTTTTTCCTTCAGTATAGATGTTGTTAGAATTCTGACTCTTAAAGGCATTTATCTCAGTTTTTGGTGTACATGTGTTATTTTTAATGTTCTTGAAAATGCTTTTTTTTTTCTTATCTTCTGTGACAGGTGAGAAGAAATTTGTCTGTCCAGAATGTTCAAAACGCTTTATGAGAAGTGACCACCTTGCCAAACACATTAAAACACATCAGAATAAAAAAGGTATTCACTCTAGCAGTACAGTGCTGGCATCAGTAGAAGCAACACCTGATGATACTTTGATTACTGCAGGAGGAACAACACTTATCCTTGCAAATATTCAACAAGGTTCTGTTTCAGGAATAGGAACTGTTAATACATCTGGCACCAGCAATCAGGATATTCTTACCAACACTGAAATACCTTTACAGCTTGTCACAGTTTCGGGAAACGAGACAATGGAGTAAATATTACACAAGATACCTATTAATTGTGGTTATTTTTATACAGTAGTGAGAAGAATATTGTTCCTAAGTTCTTAGATATCTTTTTATTGATGTGCAAAAATTTTTGGATTGACAGTAACTTGGTTATACATGACACTGAAATGCCTTACTTTGTATGATATTCCATAGTATATTAAAATGGTAAAATTGCATGGGTTTTGTAGGTACTTTTGGAATCTAGAAGAGATGAAATTTTACCAAGTTATATTAAAAAAAAAAAAAAGAATTTAACGATGGAAATGGTAGTCTAACCAAATGCATCAATCCTGTGTGGTTTAGTGTAAAAAAATGAGAACATGTTGGTATTTATCTATTGTAAGATAAAAGAAGTTGATGGGTGAAAAGAAATCATGTTATGATAAAAGAAATTTTGTAATTTTCTTGATGACTGGAATTTTTATTATGCATAACTGACAAATCAAGTTTCCAAGCAAATGTTACATAGTGTAGGCTTTACTTAGCTCATCAACTTGTCATTTTGAAGCTAATTATTTTAATTAGGTTAACTATGTACAATATTTTAAGCATTACTCTTGTAAGATTTTGAAAACTACATTTTAACATGGAACTCTAGGGATAGTCACCTTTTAAATCCTATTGAAAAGCCATGTTTAAGATCTAATTTGCCAAAATGATGTCTTGTTAATATTCTTTCAATAACCAAGGTGGGCAATATAACCAATGTTTAAAAAGCTTAAAATGTTAAAAAAAAAAAAAATGTATAGGTTGAGGCATTTGGGTGGTAAGGCAAATGTTATAGTGAAGTATATCCCTTCTTTTGAACATTGGAGGACCAAAAATAAGGTGTATTGCGTCTCAGCAGTGATTTTAATCAAATCTTTTTCTGAAAAACATCTGTCTGCCAGGGCCTTAAAAGCCATCATGTAAATTACCAGTAAAATATAACATATGCAAATACAATAGAAAAATCACTTCCATATTGACAGTACTCCCAAACATATGGATATAGTCATAGTGAACTAGGGGTTTTATGAGGTTTTTATTTGTTTGTTGTTTAGTTTTTGGTTAGTCAATCTGCATTTAAATATCAGCCATCTTTCCTTTTTTGCTTCTTCCCTTGTATGTATCCAGTACATTTAACTGATAAACATATATGTTTTTTATTATGCTGAATTTTCTTTTTATTTTTTAATTACTGTTTATATTTTCAATTATAGAAAAATGTACAAAATGAAGTTATATAGCCAGTCTGTAAGTGCTATACCATTTTCAAAAAATGTACACCAATAATTACTGCAGTTCACCTATTTACAAACATTTGGAGATCTGTTCATTTGTTATTCTTAAAACCACCTCAAATTTAAAGGCTACCTTATTGTACGTTTAAAGTGTATTATAACAGTGTGGTAGTTAATAAAACACTATTTTTTTTTTCTTTTGACTTGAGTTTACTGTACTTCTTGTTAACTAACAAGGTGTAATTTCATAATACATCTTGATAGCCTGAGATGTTTTATTATTTTGTGCTAGATGGTGGGAAGTAGAAATGGTGTTTCCTTTCCTTACAGGCAAGGAGATGGTAATACACCACCTCCTCGTCCTCAAAAAAAACCCCCATCTGTATGTGCATAGACATACGTGTGCTATATACTATGTTGGTGTAGTGGTAACTTTTTTGACCTTATGCTGAGCAGGACATGAAGGAAACATAGGCCCTATCCTATAGAATGTGAAAATAAAGTTTCATTTAAGGCCCCTGACACTTATATGCCACAACACAGACAGTCTTGATAGGGAACTGTGGCTAAAAGGTATAATGGCCTTTTGCTTAAAGCATAGGAAGAAATAATTAGTACAAAGGGGAAAAAGCTGTGAGCTTAGAAAATATGACTGGAAGAGTGAGGTAATGGTTTTAGATGGAATAAGAAAGACCAGTGAGAACTGTGAGATTAGAGAGAGTGATGGTTGTATGTGATGCTATAATGAAATCGAAAAGCTTTTATTTGTGAAGTCTGAAGTCTTGGAGTATCAAATAACCAGAGGACAGACCAGGATAATTTAGGATAAACCAGGTAGAGTTCAGCCTAGAAAAGAAAGAACTGGAAAAAGTCATGACGGGAAGATTTTCTGCATTTGCAGTTTAATGGGAAAAAAAATTAATGCAAATCTTTTGAGATTCAGAGCAACAGGAATTGACAGGTACAGAGAAAAGGGAGTTAATTCACCATCAGCTTAATCTTCTCTTTAATAAAATGAGAATGTGAAATTGGTTGGGAAGTCACAAGAGCAGCAGCCTGGGAGAGAAGACAGTTCTGCTTAGACTTGCACCATTCCATGGATGTTGTCAATATTTTAACATACTCTGAATCCACTTCCTTTAGACAGGTGAATGGGCTTGGTTTCCAAAAGCTGTTTTAGTCCACAGAGCATGTTAGTGTAAATTACTTCCATTTCTAATACTTAACGATCTGTTTCTCATCTCTCTAGCCATTTGTAGCTGTATTAGTGCATTATTTAAGAAGGAGGGAATGAAACTGCTTTTCAAAAGTTCTGTGGAACCACACTTCCACTGATGTGCATCTGTGGCTGAAGATGTTTTGGTGCGAAGGGTTTTGATGCCTTGTTGCTGAAGATGAGATTGCTTTATTTCTCAAAACTTTAGTGCTCAGTACATCAAGTGGTTACTTTAGTTAATGTGTAAGTGGCACAATTTTTTAAAAGGATATGTTGTTGTTAAGAAGCTTCAGAAGGTAAAAGTTTTGGAAGAAGGTAACTGGAAATGTGTAGGTAAAAGTCTGATGGAAAGCCTGCAGTCTAAGGGCCGTCTGCCTAATGGCTCACAGCCATAGTGTTTGTGTTATTTGAGAACGCTGGTGCGTGTGTTCACGTGTTGCATGGCAGTGATTTTTGAAAGATCTCTGCTCACCTCCAGGGCAAAGGTTCACGAGCCCAAGTATAAGATCTTTGGTATATCTGGGATTATTGCTACCTCATGGCTTGCTTTCGTGGTCACTCAAGCAACCCATATGATACCAAGACAAAATTGTGCACTGTGTAGAAGGTGTTCTGAGCTGATCTGTGAATCAGTTCTTCATGGGTTCCTGATGATGATTGCTTGGTGTGCTTCTTGCTTCTTATTGGTACAATCTGTAGTGTTTTACATATTTATTTTCACATCAGGCTTCCTCACCTGTATACCATCTTCTTGGTACGGTAGCCTTTAGATCCTTGGATGGTTTGTATCTCTTGCAGTCTGATGTAAGACGACCTAATTAAGACGACCTTAAAACTGGTTCTGCAAGAGAGCATGAGCTTGAGAGCGGCCCGCGTTACCAATGTCAGCAATCAGGATACTTATTTTCAGTAAGTACAACGCCTGTACATACACTTGCTATAACCCAAGTATTCTTGGGCTCATTCCTGAATGAACTAATGGTTTGACCTGTGCCAGTTACAAACTACTACCGATTCTTGCAGAGAACGAGGTTTTAATCATTGCTACCTAGCAGGCCAAAAGTCAATATGACTAATGAGAATGATACTGAATGAATCACTGAAACACTTGTGAGGAGCAGGATTTCTGGTTTGAAGATTCAGATTTTCCTCTGGGAAGGGACTCCGCAGAGCTCTTCTTTCGGCTTGCCTGAACAAGAAATATCAGGCTTTGGTTTGAGGCATTTTGAGATGCTGGAATCAGTAAGATAAGCCCTCCCAATGGCTTCAGGAAAGCTCTGATACGTTCTCTAACAAGTTGTTCTGGGTGTCGGGGAATGGAGCTAATAGTCACCTGTCAAATGGTTCTTAGTTCCTTTAAGTAAAGATCGAAGGAGCAGGTGGCTGTCTTTCCTCCAGTTTTTACCAACACCATTACCACCAGAAGTGCGGAGCATGCACTGTAGAACAGGGCAGAAGAAGCTGACATGGCTGACTCAGATCTTACCTTGCAGATGATACTTTCTATAAAAAGACCACCTCCATTTGGTGCTCCAGAATTGCCGTTCATTACTACTTCAGTGTATTCTGGTACATCTTTCCTATAATCCGTGTCTGTAGGACGTCTGCTAGAATCTTAGTCAGATGTGTAGGTGCTTTATGCAGTCTCCAGTATTGCTCCAAATGGGATCAGTAATTTATCACAAGAACCTGTGACCGCACTTCTTCCTGGCAGTGAAACAGTGGTCTGTGGGAGCCTTCTGCCTCTCTTGTCCAGATACCTCGATCCTTCCCAATTCCTGAGATGTCCAAGAGGCCACAGGTGAAGAAAAAAAAAAAAAAGGTAAGAGTAAAAAGCTCTTGAGTGTGATTTTGGGGTTTTGCAGCAGTCCAAAGATGCAGGTTGTCCCTTTGCTTAGAATTGTGCTGCATGCCTTTTTTGCACAGTGTCTCAGCCTTTGTGCTCGGAAAATAACTATTTATAAAATGTGTACATAATTGAATTTTTAGGTACACAATACATGATGTACTGTGTGGTATATAAGCTTTACATACGTTTTTCTGTAAATGTGTGGGGGGGGAGGTAATATGTTACTTGAAGATTCTTAATTTTCACCCAGAAGCCAGAAGTGTTGCTGCCAGTGAAAACCTATCCTTCACTTCAGTGGTAAGTCTCCACTATCTCTGACAGTCATAGCTCGCTAGAAACTATGTATAGTAAATCCCATGGTTTGGTAGTCACTGGGACCTAAAATTGCCCATACAAAGGTTTGCATATTTTGAAATTAAGGAAAACGTAAAATCAAGGTCTGCAAAGTAATAATACATAGCTCTTCTCTCATCACCTCGCCGAAAAAGACTCTGTGCTACCCTTAGTGTTTCCACTAGACAGGAATTGCATCCATTTTCCACACCAATGGAGTACTGGTGGTTTGCATCAGGTTGTTCTGTCCTGAAAGATTGTATCAAAAGGAAACATTTTATACAAGGGGTTCTACATATGTTTCCTTTCCATCTCTAATCTTGCAAGTAGGAAAAGAAAAGCCATTTCTGAGTCAAACCAGAGAGTCTCTATGTAACTGCAGAGCTCACTTTCGCATCTTGATACTGACCGAGCCCCTGTCCGGACAAGTTGGTACACATTCTCAAGCCCTATCATTGCTGAGTTGGCAGAAGAATGCTCTGAAAATTATCTGCAAGGTAATAACCTTCCCTGCCCTGCTGTGCTTTGTCTTTAGTCGAAAAGTCCAATTGCACAGATTTTGAACTCAACATGAGACACCACCAGGAAAAGGTTCCAAAGCAAGACTCGGAACTATTTATTGTTTGTGCACAGCTTTCCTGTTCCTTCGGAAAGCTCAAATCTTGGGCATGCTAGTGGCCTACAGATAGAACAAGATTTACTTCTCTATATATCTTAAAATGTATTTGCATTTTTCACAAAACTACTTGAAGAACAATACCTTTGCAAGGATTATAGGCTGCTAGATCACCATAGCAAGTAATTTTCAAGCACCAATGATTAGTTGATAAGTGGTATCATATAATCCAACACACCTTTCTCCAGGAAGATGTTTCAAATGAGGACCTCTTGGCCCCTGAGAAGAAAAGAACCATCAGAAAGATGGTTGAGCTGGGATCCAGGCATGGACAAAATATCACTGAAATCTTACATTATCCAAAGGAGTCCCTGACTTTCACATATGCTGGGCCACCCACCCACCCACATTAAGTTCTCCCTTCTGTTTCTATAGAAATTACTCCCCTATGCAAGGTATTCACAGAATTTTATTCATCATTTATGCACAAAACCCACGAATGGCTACTTCACCACAGATGCTTCCTAACTGGATTTTTTTTTCCTCCATCAGGTTGTGTTTTGATTTGATAGACGAACAGTTGGGAGAATAACAGTTTACTCCATTATGTTGCAAGCAACCACGTGTTAAGAAATGACACCATAGTAGAGGTTTGCAGGGAAAATCACTGTGATTCTGTGCATGTGTTCACCCTATGGTGGAGACATCACGATGATGTTTCTGATGGGACTGATCTACCTTTACTGGTTAAATTGATTCCTGATTTCCATCCTCTCTGTCTAGGCCACTGTATGAGTCATTATCAGCACATAGGGAAGATAGTTGAATAAAATAATGCTATTGCTTCTGCTCGCTGTGGGTTTTGGAGACTTTTTTTTTGTGTTCTGTGAACTATTCTTTTCCCTGGTACTAGAATCTGGCTCTAGTACTACAAATGGTACTGCTGGAAGCTTTATTGGTGAAAACGATGGCTCCTGAAAGGTAAGAAGCTATGTCTTGTATTGTTGGCTTGGCTGCGACCTGCTCTAGGACCTTCCACCAGCCCTTCAACTTCTCTGAGTTCCTGCTATTTCTGGTCACACTCTGCCTGCTTCAGAGGTGTTGAGCACAAGCTAATCTGGCACAGCTGTATCCCTTACTTGTAAGCCTTGGATCACTGTTGGGACCTCTGCTACAGCCTTACATAAAG